AAATAAATATTGTAAAATAAATGCATCTCCCTTGAAGAGAGGTCTGTGGGGCCAGCCCCAATTTCACCTACATTGACCCCTGCCCCTCCCCAGAAGATTGCACTACAGAGGACAGCAATGAAGATACAGCCCAGGGAGAGTGGCGGGTCTGCCAAGACCACACAGGAGAAAACTAAGAAGGAGAGAGAACCGTATCCTGGCCCACCTAGCCCCAAAGATGATATCCCCTCACTGACCCACAGCACTGCAGGGGACAGCACTGGAGACACAGTTCGGGAATTGTGTCCGGTCTGATCCACACATACCAGGGCAAATTACGGAGGGAACGCAACCGAGCAGCAAGGGGAGCAAAGCAAGGAAGTCCTCCAGGAATCCCGAAAATAGACTTCCAACTTGGAGGGTAGGGCTCGGCACCTCATGAGACTAGATCAGAAAACATACATGAGGGCCAGCAGACAGACCTGGAACTATTTACAGGCCCTTTTCTCCTCCTCCTTCTTCTTCTTCTTTTCGTGTTTATCTATTTAAGATAGGCAAGATAAAAAATCCCGAAGAGAAAGCAAGAGAACTGACAGTTCTGGGAGACAGGGGAGAGGGAGAGGTGGGGGAAAGGGTAGGGGGTAGCCAATAAATCCAGGGACAAGGGAACAACAAGAGATCTAAAATGGATGGCAAGGTGAATGTAGAATGCCTGGTGGGGTTCAGTCAAGGGCAATGTAGCTGAGAGGAATTATTGAGAGCCAAATAAAGGTCAAACATGACAGTGGCACAGGAAGAAAGTAAAAGGAAATAAAGGAAAGAACTATGAGGCAAAAGACATTTGCAGAAGTATAAATATAGGCATGTATATATGTAAGTATATGTATACATAATGATAGAGATATAGACCTATGTAGATATACTTATATGTTAAATAATAAGGAAGCAGATGGACATTGGGCCTCTACTCAAGTCCTCCCTCAACACAAGAACACTTGTTCTAATAACCTGGCATTCTGTGATGTTCACCTTCCCAACAGGATCGCTGAAGACAAAATGGGTACAAAAGTAAATGTGGTAAAGAAAGCTGATGGTACCCAGCTATTAAAAGATATAACATCTGGGATCTTAAAGGCTTGAAGTTAAACATGCGTCCATCTAGCAGGGAAGCAACAAAGCCTACATGGAAGAAGTACACCAGCCAGTGCGATCACCATGTGTCAACAGGATCAGGTATCAAGTGTCAGAAGACCCAAAACAATCATACCAATGCCAACGAGTGGGGTCAGAGTGGACACCCAGAGTGTTTACAGAGTGGCCTATCTGTAAACAGTTGGACATGTCTTCACAGAAGGGTCACAAGGAAGGGACAAGACAGCCAGAGTGCACTATAGCACCGATGAATCACACACCATTCCTCTAGTTCTTTAGTGCTTTCTTCCTGCCACTATCACAACCCCAGTTCTACCTTACAAACCCGGCTAGAACCAGAGCATGTCCACTGGTGCAGATAAGAGCCCTCAACACAGGGAATCCAGGACAGACACTCCCACACACACACCCCCACCCCAGTACAGTAATGGGAGTAGTAATGCCATGTGGATAGGTGGAAGATGGACAGAGAAGGGGCCAACAGATCACAATGATCGACATGCAAACACCGCCCCCACCCCAAGCCTGGGGGGAGGAACAACAGAGATGTGGATGAAGGAAGACAGTGGATGATGTAAGATATGAAAACAATAATACTTTATAATTTATCAGGGATTCATGAGGGTGGGAGTGGGGGGAGGAGGGAAAAAAGAGGAGCTGATACCAATGGCTCAAGTAAAAAGAAAATGTTTTGAAAATGATGGAAACATATGTACAAATGTACTTGATACAATTGATGTATGGATTGTTATAAGCTGTCAGAGCCCCCAATAAAATGATTTTTTTAAAATACTTATATATTCTCCCTTGAATGTGGGCTACATCATTTTACACCCACCAGCAATAGACAAGGGTTCCAATTTCTCCACATCAACCATTGTTATTTTCCTTAGTATTGTTATTGTGGTCATTTTTTAAGTGCTGAACTGCTAACTGGAAGGTCCGAGGTTCAAGCCCTCTGGCCGTTCTGGGGAAGAAACACAAGGCACTCTGCTTCCAGGTAGATTACAAGCCTTGACAATCCAATGGGGCAGTTCTACTGTTATAGGATCACTCTGAGTCAGAAACAACTCCACCACACCTGACCACAACACCAACACAGCATCTGAGTGGATGGGAAGGGTGTTTCTTTGGTGGTTGTGATTTGCATTTATTTCCTTAGTGACGAATGTCTTTCATGTGTTTGGGAGCCATCTTCTTTAAAGAATTGTCTATGTAAATACTTTCCCCATTTTT